GTCTCCAGTTATGTGACGAGCACAGCTGCTTTATGCTTAAAGAATCCCTCATCTGTAAGCTTAGGATCATAACTGTTAAAATGCCTTGATTTGCGGAGTTATAATCTGATGCATCTGCCTGAGCAAAACCATTTTTGACAGGGCAGAAGTAGGACAAGACTCCTTGAATATCAGAGCTGCAAGGACTAGTGGTTCCCTTCTGGACTGGATGGAGTCCTAGTCCTAGTGTCCTAGTCCTAATGTCCTAGTGCTCCCCCAGCATCCAGCTCCCTGTTCCCAGTGTTACTGCCCTGCCTAGGAAAGCAAGCTTCCAGCTGCACCTCTTCCACACCAGCTCCCCCGATACGCATCCTGCCCTACACACCCATGGAGAGGTTCTGTCACACCACACAGCAGTCACCCTGCAGCTCCTGCAGGGAACGCGAGCCTGTTGGAGCTCCCCTGCCTGTCTTTTGATACCTGAAATGGCAGATAAAAGTCACTCTAGTGAGAATCCTCAGCAGGAGATAAATTTCTTTGGGTCTGGGTAAGAAAATAACCTGTTGGTTACCTGATCTCTTGTAATGCCCCTATTTGTTTACTGAGATAACTCTGCAAGCCAGATCCTCTGATCCCTGGAGCAAAGTTAGTCCAAGTTGCAAAAAAGAATCAAGGAGGTGGGACAGGAAAAGAAAACACCTTGGCACAAACTCATAAGCATTGGAGATCTGTTACCAACAGGTTAATTTTAGACTTAACCTTTGAAGCATTAAAGTAAACAAGCAATAAGGAAGCTTTTTCCTAGGAGAAGGGCTATTTTAAATTCACTGTAGCCCTGTGCCCAAGTCTCAGCTGGTTCAAACTTAGAGCTCTTGTGGCCATCACTGCAGTCAGATCCACCTTACAGCTGAGAAGCCAGCCTTGGCTCTTCGCCACTGCATATAATTATATGGGGACAAAGAAAAGCTGAGTTAAGAAGCAGCAGTAATTTCTAGTCCATTATGTTGCTTAAACCCATTTTTCTATCTAGTTCAGTCAAGACCCAAGGTCAGAGTTGGAAATTCAGATTTCTCTTGCAGCTCTCAACCCGGGAGCTTCCACATGAGTTTTGGGACTGTAAAATGCAAGATTTTAAATAATATTATCATCCAGCTCAATAGAAATACCATAATTTATTCTGTTTGTATAAAAAAGTTATAATCATGTAACAAAACTATGTCTTCATAAGAAGAAATATATTATTTCACATCATAAATAAATCAGCAAACATACAACCCTTGGCAACTCAAAAAAGCACTCGGCTGGTGCTTTCACGTCAGTGCTTGGGAAACAAGAAGAGCTGACAGATATATATACACACAGGATTACAGTACCAAAAATACTGAGGTATTTTGTTTCTCTGGAAATGAAACTTTTAGGTTTGTTAAGGCACAAAACAATGCACTAATGTAAAAAATAAATAAATAGGACTGTCACATGAAAGGGGACAGCATCAGTGTTGCTCAGAGTGTCCAGGAATGGGAATACTGGTGAGCATGCTACTAAACATGGAGCAGGCTTAGGACAGACATAAGACAAGGAGGAACAGCTCAGGAAGAGACAGTGTCCTTTGATCTTTGTGTAGACATCCAGATATTGGCTTCAAAAGTCAGAACAGTCAGCCGCACCTAGTTCTCTGGCATCAGGTGAGCTCCTCTCCGTTTATGACACCATTCTGGGATGCATGGATGGTTCCTCACAAAACACGAGTGACTGATGACACTGTCCTCATAGTTATTGCACTTCTGAGACAATAAGCCTGAGTTCTGACCATATTTTCACCTGCTTTTCAGCAGCTTGGGGAAGTAGTGATGGGGCTCTGAAGATAGCTTAAAGCACTGGACGAGGTGTGAACAGGGATGGAGACTGGAAAGTTAAAGACTGTGGTGGTCGATGCTCCTCTGTCCAACACAGACATAGCAGGGCTACCAGCTTCTGCTGAGCAGTTGGGGGCAAGGACCTGTGACTCAAACTGAAGCAGCTGCCCCATGAAGCTGAAGTTTGGGGAGATGATGCTTCTCCTCTGCTTCACAAACTCAAAGGCTTCATCCAGTTTGACTCTGTTGGTCCTCATGAGATAAGCAAGGCAGATGGTTGCTGACCGGGAAATGCCAGCCTGGCAGTGCACAAATACCCTTCCTCCATCATTTTTAACAGAGTCTGAAAGAATTAAAACACAGTTAGCAAACAAGTCCCACAGCTTCCGGAGGTGGAAAAGCACAGGCTGCTGTTTTACATTTCTTTAATCCATCCCTTCCTTAGCCTAATAGGTGCACCCGGTGCTTTTGAGACAAAGAGAGCCTTTGTCCCGAGGGAACCAGCAGTCTAGCTATTTTCATTCTGGGCTCCAATTCCAATTATACTAATAGCTCCTCCAGGTCACTTTAGCAGTCTTGCAAGATTACTTTAATACTGATCCGCTTAAATTCACTAGCTCTTCTCTGCAAGACCAATGCCTCTTGAGTCAAGATTTCAAACAGTTTTGTGAAGCTCAGATTATTCCTCCAAGTGGAATAAAATTAATGGAAGTGTTCCCCGAGTATCTCTCCTCTACAGAATGAAATTCCCCAATCTCAAATGTAGGTTTCACTGGGGAAAACACCCCCCAAAAAAAAAATCACTTCCCAGGGCACATTACCCCAGAAAAAGAACAGACTGTAAAGAGAGCTCATTTACCTATGAAATCAATCGCCTCGTTAAACCAGGAGCTGATGTCGGCCTTGTGGTTGTCCTCGACGGGAATACTTTTATACTGGTAGTGCCCTTCGAAGTGGTTGGGGCAGTTCGCCGAGACATTGATCAACGCCGTGATCCCCAGGGCATCCAGCATGTCTTTTCGGGAGGCATGGTAAGCGCTGCCCAAGTAGAGGAACGGCAGGATTTCCACCGGCCCGCCCTAGAACAGAGAGGACAGGCAGCCGGTTAACGCCGCTCGGCAGCTCTCCGGTA